GTTCTGATACCATTTCTGATGTTACATTTTCTGTTAATGCATTTGGGTGACTTGTGTCTTTGTATAAGTTGAAATTGTCTTCTCTGGGACATTGTGGTGTCATAGCTAGTTGGTGATACCATATTGGTGTATTCTAAGGTGCTCCCCACCTATTTCCTGGTGGAGGTGGTAGAGACCGAAAGTGTGAACGCAGTTAGTTCTTTGCTCACTGCTTGTGTAGTGTAGTTTAGGGATGGTTCACATGCCTCCAGAAGCAGGGGGGCTATATCTGGCACTTGATCTCAGGCAGAGCAGAGGCTGTGGCAGGAGAGGGCGTAAGTGGTTGCTGGGTTGGTGAATCTGGGACTGACCATGCCCCTAATGACCAGGAGGACATGAGAACAAGGGAGAACAGCACCCCCTGGCTGCCATTCTCCAGCTGCATCCTGTACTAGCAGGCTGCTATATCGACAGCAACTTGAAAAAGCTGAAGATCTGCGCTACTCCGTGCCAGCCACAGTCCACCCGTTTTCATCCCTTACTGCTCCTGTTCAGCTTCCTCTTTCAGTCAGCACCCAGTCCATCTCTCTGTCCTATCTTCTGATACTCAGGGTTCCAGAATCACCATCTGTATCTGTTTCACTTGGTCTTCCATGTCTTTGTTGCAGAGGTTTGACCCAGTGCAACTGCTTCCTCCACCATCTTGTCTTGGACCAGGTTCATCCTGTGGAAAGACACAAACATAGCCTTGTCCCCATATGAGAACAGGGTCGGGCCCCTTCCATGTGCCTGTTAGGGCATCTTTCCATTTTACCATAGGTTTAGGGGCGCTTGGCTCCCGGTTGCCATGCCTATCCGCAGCCATGAGGCCGGAGGCATCAGTTAAAAGGTAGTTAAGGATGAAAATGACGTGGTTGATATAATTTTGAGGTGTGTGGGGGTAGGATTCCCCCTTCTATATTTTTTTCAAGATAAGACTTTATAGTGGCATGTGTGTGTTCAACAATGCCTTGGCCCTGGGGATTGTAAGGAATGCCAGTAGTATGTTTGATAGAGAAGGTCTTGCAAAACACCGTAAAACGGGCGCTAGTATAGCCAGAACCATTGTCTGTCTTAATGCTTTGAGGTATGCCCATAGCGGCAAAGGCATGTAAGCAATGTTTTATCACTTGGGTGGTCCCCTCTCCTGTTAAGGGGGAGCAGCAAATGAGGCCGGAGAAGGTGTCTACAGAAACATGCACATACTTAAGCCGACCAAAGTTAGGAACGTGTGTGACGTCCATTTGCCACAAAGCATTGGGGTGTAAACCTCGAGGATTGACTCCGAAAGATGGAACAGATTGGTGGATGGGGCACTCAGGACAAGCACGAACTATTTGCTGTGCAGCTTCATGAGGGATATGAAACAACTTGTGCAGGGATTGACTGTTCTGATGATGTAGTTGATGCAAGGCCTAAGCGCACTGCAGATTGGAGTGTGCCATATAAAGCTGTGCGTCAGCAGCTTTATTGCCTTTGGCTAAGGTGCCAGGCAAATTACTGTGAGAACGTATGTGGGCAATAAAGATGGGTTGTTCTCTTTGACGGATGAGGAGTTGGAACTGTATTTTTATAATTGTTCTTATCATTCTTTCTTTGTTTACATTCTTTAGCAAAATGGCCTATTTTTCCACAATTAAAACACTTTCCTGGGCATTTAAGAGCAGCAAACATTTCTGGAGGAGTTAGCCCCTGAAGGGCGGTGGCCATTGCCAGGCCCTGATTTTATGAGGGTCCCACATCGGCACAAAGACGATTGTAATCATCTAAGCTGCCTTTATTCTTGAATGCACGAATAACCATCTGACAAGCACTGTTGGCATTTTCAAAGGCCAACTGTTTTACAAGGGTCAGAGAGTCAGGGGAATCACCCAGGATCCTTCCAGATGTAAGAAGTAGTCGGGAGACAAAGTCTTGAAAAGGCTCATCAGGACCCTGATGCACCTTTGATAACTCAGTAGTTTGCTTACCAGTGTTGGGGATGGATCTCCAAGCTTTTCGTCCGCACTGATTAATGTGAGCATAGGCAGGCATAGGATACATAATTTGCTTTTCTATGGTATTATATTCCCCTTCCCCTACTAACGTGTCAAATGTGGCTCCCCGATTCCACTGATTGTTGTTAAGGTTTGCTATTCGCCGTACTTCCTCATAATACCCAGATTTCCACAACAAATAATCACCTCCTGCAAGACAGTCACGGGTGATATTCTTCCAGTCTAAAGGAGGCAAGTCTTCTTCACAGACTAATTCTATCAAAGCCTGTATAAAGGGCCCATATTGAGCACAAGCCATTTTTAACTCTTTTAAACTTTTAAAGGGTAAAGAGCTGTGGGTGCAAGTCTCCACATCTCTACCGTGCTCATCTTGACCAGCGGGCGTCCGCACAATTGGATACATTTGAAAACCACGCAACTCATCCCCCTGTCTTGCTCCATCAAGCAATGCTGCCTATATCAGGGAGTATCTTGGGCAATCACTGGGGTATTAGACTGAACGGTGGCACAGGGGTTCAAGCGTAAGGGAGTCATTGTTTCTCTTTGAGTCCTAGCCTCTCTTTCTTTGGCTAAGTCAGCAAGGGCAGCGTGCCACTGCTCCTTTTGCTGTATAGTTTCAGTCAACGCCTTTTTCTCTAAAGTTAAATCTTTTAACTGACTTAAAACGTCTTTCAGCACAGATCTTAGATCTCCCTTAGGCGTTTCACCAGAAGTTAATGAGGAATTAGACTTGCACCTGGGCGCTTCCTCTTTTTCCAGCGCCATGTTAGGGTGCGGCCCTTCTTCTTCTGCCTTATCTACTACTGCCTCTCTTACTTCCTTGTCCTTCGGTGCCGGTGCCATTTTAAGGTGCGGCTTCTCCTCTTCTTGTTCCTTCTTTATGCTGACTGAAAAATAGCACTGACCAGAGAATCTGGCCAGGCTTCATCTCCACTATCATTTTCTTTCTTATCCTCGTGTTTCTCGTCCCCCAATTCTTTTTCCACGCTCAAAGTCGGTAAAGATTGTAAATCAGGGTATATGGGTGGAGGTGGAGCGGTTGGTTCCGTGGAACTGCCTCCCAGATGATCGCTGCCAAAATCAAAAGTATCTCAGACAAGCCGCCACAAACTAAATGTATAGGCAGGCACCCGGGACGGGCCATTCTTAGCATAATATTCTTGCAGTTGATGACCTTTCTGATTCCAAAACTTAACATCAACCACTCTGTCCTCAGGGAACCAAGGACAGACAGTATTTACAAAGTCTGTGAATTTACAAAGCTGGCTATGATCTACTTTTGCACCTCTGCTACGTGGCATTTCTCTCAACATATCTACATACCGTGCTTTTCCCGGTTTGTTTCCCATACTTACCTGATCGGATTGCCCTCCCTTCTTTTAATGTCTGTGCGTCCTTATTCTTCGGGTCTGTTTTGGAGGGTCCGTCGCGTTATTTCTTGTATTCGAGTCCCACCTTTTGGGCGCCACTTATCGGGGTCCGAGACCTGCTAAGACCACTGCATGGGTTTCCCGAATATGAGGCGAGGATTAACGAACAGGCAAGGGACACAAGCTGATGGCAAGTGACAAAGTTTATTTTAAATCTCAGAGTATATATAGGGTGGTTCTGCAAGTCACTGCTGTTTTGCATAGTTACAAGTCTATCCTTTACTGTGAATCAGGCAACCTTGGGAAAGCTACCTTCCCTGCTGTGTTGATAAGCAGACTTTGTCTGGTTAGACCCAGACTTAAAGTTTTATGAGGCCTGTAAGTCTTTTGGTCCCCGACACTCCTGCTCCATGTCCTCCGTGGATAGGGTCATTCCTGCCAAGCTTTGGCTTAGGGGAGGAAGGGAAGTCTTCTATTCTCCTTATAAGAACAGAGTAGAACAATGGGTTCTCTCTTGGCAATGCACTAGATGGAAGGAGATAAGCTTTGTTGTGCTGCTCTGGTAAGAAACTGGAACAGTAAACAAAGTTAACCCCCTGGATGGAGAAGGAATTTTCCTGTACATCTCTTTATGGAAACCAGCAATTGGTGCTTGCTCTCTCCAGAGCCAGTCTGCCTGGTTGGCCTCTGCAGTTAGCTAAGAGCCCCAGGCTACAAAACAAACCAACAAACCAAACCCAGTGCTGTCAGGTCACTTCTAACTTAATAATGACCTTAGGACAGAGCAGAGCTGTCCTAGAGGATTTCTGAGACTGTTAATCTTTATGGGAACTACAGCTTTCTGCTGCAGAGTGGCTGGGATTCAGTGACTGAACTTGTGGTTAGCAGCCTAATGCATAGCCCACTATGCCACTAGGACTCTTCAAAGGTCAGAATTGAGCTAAATATCATTTAGACCCATAGCTAGGAGTGCCATTTTGTAAAATAAACTTTCGTCAGAAACTGTCTTACAGCTTGGAAAAAGTATAAACGTGTCCAGAAATTGAGCTTGGCAGCTCTATGGTTGTCTTCACTCTGTTTTCTTTTCTAAGGTCCCTCACAACCTAGGAGTTGTCATGTAGTCCCATATATGTAAGTATCAGTTACAGGAATTGAATTGAAATTAGTAGTAGGAATCCTGAGTACAGGGTGACCTTAGTCTCCCTTCATATTTAACAGCATTATTTTGAACAGGTATGAAATTAAACAGGACAAACTGATACCTACTTGAGAGAGTTTGTTAGTGGGAAACCATTTTTACATTTTAAGTTACACTAAATGGATAACTTGAAAACAAACTAACAACTGTTGAGAAATGGCATTCATTCCAAGTCATCGTGACCCGCTCCATACAGGGTTTCGGAGGAGGGTTTGAACCACTGACCCTGCAGCTGGCAGTCTAGTGCTTATTTTATAGCACCACACCAGGACTTCATTTAGAGATGTAATAAAAATTCTCTCTTCCTTTTGTAACACTTTTTTTTTTAATTGATAATACTGAAACCCAAGCTGAAAAATGAGTTTAAAAGAAGTTGATAAAAAAGTGAGTGGTCAGTTGCTGTTCTTTCTTCTATAGACAGGAATTTGCTCTTGCTGGCTATGAATTCTGCATTTCAACTCTAGAAGAAAAAATGGAAAGAGAAAAGGAACTGGCAGAAGACATTATGTCAGGTAGGATAGAGAGTCACCTGACTCTTTTAGACATTACCTTTTCTCCATAAAGGGCCTCACTGCTCCACTGCAGGAAAAGGAAGATGTCTGAATTGAGGGAAGGTTGCCCATCTTGGAAAATAATGGCTGGTTTTAAGGTCTTGGCAGAGTTTGAATAAGATACTTTAAAAAGATAACTTGACCTTATTTATTTATTTTTTTAAATCTTTTGCTGGCATATTAATATTGTATCTGTTAAACTTTAATTTGCTATAACCTCTGGAAACCGGGGATCCTGATGTGGCATTGTAGGATCAGCACTGGACTTTGAACCACATGGTCAACAGTTCAAACCCACCAGTTGCTCTTTGGAAACCCTATACAGGGTCGCTATGAGTCGGAATTGACTTGGCAGCCCTTAACAACAGCAGCAACTAGAATGGAAACCTGGGCACCATGAAAGGAAGGATTTTCTTTTATCTCTTAGTTCTGAAGCCATTCAAAATGGTAACAAGTTACTTTTTGGTCCCAGATAATACACCAGGAAAGAACACTTATTCTTTATGTAGTTCATCCTTATTATGGAGAGAAAAACCTAAAAATATGTACTAGGAACTAGAATGGGAAGTGCAGGAAGATCTCTAGATCTCAATATTAAGGTTTTTTTATTTGCTTTGAAGTATTGGGAGTTTTCAGACTTGACATTCATATAGTAATTCTTTGTTACACACCTACTCCATGCTAAGTGCTGGCAAGATGCTAGAGGTACAACAGTCTGTTGGCCCTATAGTAATACTCCTTGAAAATGTTGTTTCTACTTAATTGTTTGAATTCTCTAAAAATGCACTAGTTTTCTTCTCTATACCTCCACTGAAGCCACTTCTGTCAGGGTCACCAAATCCAATGGTCAGTGCTCAATCCTGATTTTCCTCTACGTATCAGCATCTTGACTCAGGTGATCACTATCTCCTACATGAAACACTTGATTCTCACCTTCGCTCCTGGGATGCCTGTATTGGTCACTCCCCTTCATCTTCCCAACCTCTAAAGGTTGGTGGGCTCTATGGTTGTCTTCACCCTGTTTTCTTTTCTAAGTTCCCTCACAACATAGGAATTGTCATGTAGTCCCATACATCTATATATGTATCAGATTTAAATCATCATCCTCAAACTTGCACCTAAACTGCAGAATCGCCTGCATGATTGTCTTCTTGGCATCTTGACTTGAATGTCTGGTGGCTGTCTCACACTTAGCTTGACCAAAATGATCCTCTTGATTTCTGTCCCCGACGAACTTTTTCTTTACCAATTGGTCTTAGCATTCACCCAGTTGCTTTAGCTAACAACTGGAGCCACCCATGACTTATTTCTCATTCCCCTGTTAAATTCATTGGCTAGTTACATTATTTTAGCCATCAAAAGAGATCCATCTCAGACCTCTTTTGACATCCTCTTACCTTACCACTTTGATCCAGGGCATATCGCTCTAGGACTCCCATAAAAACCTCACAAGTTTTCCTTCCTTCATTCCCTTGTACATTTTGTTTTTTATTCAATAGGCAAGGTGTTGTTTTAAGAATGCAGTGGCTTTACATCACCCTTAGAATCTAAGCACAGAATCCCTCTATGGACCTCTAAGGTCCTACATGATCTGGCCCCATCCACCTCATCTGCATAATCTACTCTGATTCTCCCCCTTTCTCATTCCACTGTCACCATACTGGTCTATTTCTTTTATTGCATATGAAAATTTTTTCATTTGCTGTTCCCTCTACAAGGCTTGTTCTCATTTCCTTCATGTCTTCCCTCAATATTACTTCCTCAGAGGCCTCCTCTGACTAAAAAACAATCCTCCTCCTTCCCTAGCATTTCTCTAACCCCTTACTCTTATTTTCTTCATCACACTTGAAAGTAGCTGTGTGTGATTGTGTGTATATTGCCACTAAAAGTATAATTTTTATAGTTCTCAGTATTTGTCTTCCATATTAAAGATGAATAGAAACTTCATCTGCTTTTTTCTCTGCTAAATCTTCAGTACCTAGAACACTTGGTTGTTGTTGTTATGTGCCGTGGAGTCGGTTCCAACTCATAGCGACCCTGTACAGGGTTTCCGAGGCTGTAAATCTTTACGGGAGCAGACAGCCCCACCTTTCTCCTGTGGAACAGCTGGTAGTTTCAAACTGTTGACCTTGCGGTTCGCAGCCTGGTTCGTAACCACTATGCCACCAGAGCTCCTTACCTAGGACAGTACCTGGCTGCAAAAGAATGACACCAAGCCATCCATCCCAGCATCCTCTACTTAGCTGGGTTCAATACTTTGTTGCAATTGCCAAACAGAACTCAAAACACCATACTCAGGGTTAATGGAGTTTATTAGGGAAGTTAACAGATTATAACGTAGGGTCAGAAAATGCTCAGGGCACAGTTCTTCCAGTTAGGATAGCCTCTCCTCAGCCGTGCCCATAGGCAGGCCTGTCTCTCTGTACAGAGCTCGTTGAGGGCTGCTGAGAAATGCTTACAGGTCACACCACTGCACCATAAGTCTCAGTCTAAACGCACTCAACATTTGTTCATGGGTCAGCAAACCTAGCTCCCACAATTAAGTACTTGGAGGCATCCAATTCTGCAAGCAAGCCTTCTGCCTGAAGTCCTTGGGCTGAGCCTCTCTCTGTTTCATGATCTGGTGCTGGTTTCTACTGCTCCTCACTCCTCTGTCCCTGCTGGGTCACAGCTCTCTGTCCCTGGGTCAAGGAGGTTCAATGTGCAGGAATCTAGGGCTCCAAAGGACACACTCCATTTATTCCTTGTTTTCAGTGAGATTCCCATTCCTACTTCTGAACTGCCTCATTTTATATGTGTTAGAGCTCCAAGTTTTTACTTTCACAATGCTCTTAACCACTCACAGCTGAGTCACATAATCCTATTAGCATTTTCTCCCACCTTCTCTTACCCAGACCCAGAGCAGGGCAAACACATCATTTGGTGAGAATGACAAAGATTGTAAGGAGCCCTGATAGTGTAGTGGATTACAGGTTGGGCTGACAACCACAAGGTCAACAGTTGGAACCTGCTAGCCCTGAAAAAACTTATAACTTCAGAAATCGTATGTAGGGTAGCTATGAGTCAGAACAGGCTCCATCACATATAACCACCACCACAAAGGCTATAGGTGAACGAGCCATATGATGTGTTTCACTGCACTGCTATAGCACACAAGAGAGACCAATAATTTTTGAATCTGAAAAAAGACCTGACAAGACTATGGTTAAATTCTTTGCAGTTTGCAGTAATTTGAGGATAGTTACAAAAGGTGTCAATGCCTGTCTAGCTATCAAATAGGTTATTTTTTTTAACTGTGTATACCCATGCTATCTTAAGAGTATAAAATTACCTGCCCTTTTATGATTGATTTATTTAACTAAGTATAGTGTCCTCCAGGTTTTACACATTGCAAGATGTTTTGGGAACTCATTTCCATTTTGTTTATCCATTCATCTGTTGTTGGGCACTTAGGTTATTTCCATGTTTTTGGCTGTTCCAAACAGTGCTGCAATGAACATAGGTGCGCATATGTTTGTTAATGTCTCTTCTAGGAGTGGAATTGTTGAGTCATAAAGTTAGCTCTGTTTCTGATTTTTTGAGGAATCTCCATACTGTTTTCTATTTTATAGTAATTGTACCATTTTACATTTCCACCAACAATGGTTAAGAATCCAATCCCTCCACATCCTTTTTTAAAAAATGAATGCCATTTTAGCAGAGGTGAGATGGTATTTCATTGTAGTTTTGATTTGCACTCTGGTGTTGTAGGGTAAGTAATGGACTGCTAACAACAAGGTTTATGATTCAAACCCACCAACTGCCCTTCAGAAACCTATAGAGGGTCACTGTAAGTTGGAACCCTTCCGACAGCACACAGCAGTGACTAATGATCAGGAGCATCTTTCCATACTTGCTGGCCACTTGAATGTCCTCTTCACTTGACGTGAAGACTCTGTTCATGTCCTTAGCCCATTTTTAAATGGAATCATTTGATTTTTTTTTGTCATTGAGTTGTAGAAGGGACTTCAAAATATTAATGAAAAATCCCATT